GAAGGGAAGGGAAGGGAAGGGAAGGGAAGGGAAGGGAAGGGAAGGGAAGGGAAGGGAAGGGAAGGGAAGGGAAGGGAAGGGAAGGGAAGGGAAGGGAAGGGAAGGGAAGGGAAGGGAAGGGAAGGGAAGGGAAGGGAAGGGAAGGGAAGGGAAGGGAAGGGAAGGGAAGGGAAGGGAAGGGAAGGGAAGGGAAGGGAAGGGAAGGGAAGGGAAGGGAAGGGAAGGGAAGGGAAGGGAAAGGATGATGGGTGCAGTGTCTAGCACATGATGGAAGGATAAGGCAGCCTTTAATAGTCATGCAAGACCCTCCACAGCTTGACAGAAAGCTCACACATTGCCACTTCCGCAATATGGTGATGTTTTTGATCGCCCAGTTACGAAGACATTTTTTCACTGGATAACAGCTGAGATGATTCAGGCTTTGGATGATGATCGATGTTATTTGGGGCAGCAGGAGAAGACAGCGCATCTTTGAGCAGGAGACTGAAGCAAATCAGTAGGAAAATGATCACTGTTTCTTGGCAGTTTAAACCGAGAAAAAAAATTGAATAGATTTTCATACTAATGCTGAAGTACAGAGCTTTAAGCCACAGGACTTGCAGTGATGTTTGTCAGGATGAATTAAATTTTTACCTGTAGAGGAACTGCCCAGTTTACAAATCAGGTCATTGTAGAATCATTGAATCATAAAGGTTGGAAAAAGATTCCTAAGACCATCTAGTCCAAACATCAGCCCATCCCTTCCATGTGCACTAGTTCATGTCCCACAGAGCCACATCTACCCTCATCAGACCAAAGCATTACACTGACGCAGAACAAGTCAACCTGCCAGCTTCTTTCTAGTAATGCTGAAATGGAGATATCCAAAACCAAATGGGTTTTAGTAAACCAAAGACCTACAGAGGTCTCTGATCATATAAAAGCTATTGTCAGTTGTATAAATAGTCAACATTTACACCTGAGAGAAAGATTAGGAAGAAGAACTTTCAAGCCTTTCTGAAACAAAGCACAGATATTTATAGAGGTTTCTATAAATAAGGTTGCAGAGTTCATTCTTAAAGCATCACAGTCTGTTCATTGCTTCAGCACAAAAACTTAACGGATGCTTGCCAGTAACATGGCCTTTAGTGGAAAACTGCTTCCACAAAATCAACATTTTATGCAAGAAAAAATTAATTTTGCCCAAGGCATTCAGGTTTCCTTTGGGAATATCAAAGCAAAATATTTTCTCCACTACACTGACTTGACCGAAATCAAATGTTTCACTTTATTTTTTAACTGAACAAGAATATTTGATTTCAATTCAGTTCAATGTGAAACTGCCTCTGGGCTTGCTGCTACATTGGATATAAATCGTCCCGGAGAATAAGGGAATAAGATAATTTGCATCACAGCCAGGTAGCTGGCTCACAAGAAAACATTTTTAATTCAACAATATTAAAATGCTACATTTTGTTAAAAAATACTGAAAATGTTTGTGTACCTTTAGAAACTGAAGCTCTTCAGAGATTTTCCTCCTGTGGAAAAAAAAAATGATATGAAGAAACTGTTTAAATAGTCAACATTTCACAAGAGAGGTGTTTGGTATTTTTTTTCCCACTGTGATTTCCAGCTCACAAATCATTACACAAGTTTTGTGACACAGCAACTTCACTGAGCTGCGCTGGAATCACATCAACATGGAAGTGATATCAGGTGTAGTGATACTGGTCCCAGTGGACATCTCTAGGCAGATATATGCCTTAGAGTGCTGCAGTTTCTTACACTTACCTCCTTGTTGGGACTGTAAGTATGCAGAATGGCCTGGGGATCCTGAAAGAATTACATGCAGTGAGGAAAGAGGATACTGCTTGTCTCCAGGAATGCCATACATCCATCCACACCTCATGGATACATGAGCCAGTGAGGCTTTTGAAAGCAGCACATGAGGACACGGTGCTGGTGCCACAGAATTCAGCTTGTTGGGATCTTTACCCATGGACTGCAAGCATGAAGGATGCTGGTCCTTGTGATTTTGGGAAAGATGGTGACAGCTGTTTCTACAACAGAATGGGTTGAGAAGATCAAGAGATCCAGCCTGAGCTCAACCGTGGAGCATGTATCATAAAGAATCAGAGCAGCACCATTTAGTTATTTGTTCTGGTTTATAATAACTAGGCTCTGATTCATGTCTCCAGGCACCAGAACATGAACTGCTCCAGCAGCTCCAGTAAATGTAAACAGAGAAACCAGATAACTGCAAGTTCAACCATGACAAAAACTGTTCACGTTCCCCTGGCCTGACTTCTAGATATCAGAGTGAATGATTAACCTCTGCAGTTTGTACAGTTACTGATTACACAGTCTACTCAAAACATCAAAGAAGGCAATAACAAACTCAGAGGCTTGTATACCTTGAATTATCCTAAGTTTGAGTTACGTAAATGAGCTGATTTTTAAAAAACCTGTCCCCTATCAGAAGACATTGCTGAAAAGGAATACATTTTCAGGAAGCAGTAACACACCACGCCAATCATAAAAACCCTGCCCAAGTGGGCAGTTTAATGGCCTACAACATTTTGAAGCAGGGCTGGGGAACAGAGGAGGGGCTCACATGAATGCCATACATTGGTCTCTACCGGAAATTACAAAGCAGTATGTTCCAGTGCCTGCTTTGTTTCTGAAGAATGCTTAATGACTAGCTGCAGACCACGTTATCACCACTTCAAGCTAAGATTTCACTTAATTTACATAGGCTGCAGACTGCAGCTGTCTTTGTTTTCAGCGCAGACACTGCCTGGGATTTCAGTTTTCCAGAGCTATTCACCTTTAGGAAAAACAATGGTCAGCATTGGCTTTAGACATTGTAAATAATGCAGGAGTTGTATTCAACTGTTGCTTCAATGCAGAACACTCTCAGTTCTGCAAGGAGATGAAAGCACATGGGAAAGCCCAGGTACCCTCCTTTCACTGAGTTCAGCATGGGAAGGTTGGATGTTTTGGGTTGCTTGATACCTGTAGTGACATTACATGGAAGAAAAGCCATTTTCAGGTTTTCAGGGGGTAGTAGTGTTAAATCTGGAGGTAAATAACAGAATATGTTTTCACCCAGTAGAATACCCAGCACACTTTGCTAGAAGATGTAGGATCATGAGCTTGTTTCTGATATCCTGGGTTATACAGAAGTGTTTTCTTGGCCATGCATGCTTCACATGCAAGGAAGGATTTTTGATCTGACTATGCCTCAGGCTCACATCTGACTAGTGGGACAGAAGACTGCTCAGAAGACACTCAGACAAATGTGTCTACGGCAGACAAAAGGAGATGTTGCAATGCTTACCTGAAGATCTTATGACTGTATCTGTACAGGTCTCCATCATGGAGACATCCAACTTGTTAACATGTACTGTGTATATTTCTGTTGTCCAGAGTTACATTCTTACAGGAGACTTTGGATCCAAGAAAGGTTTGAGTATCTGGGTGAGAGTTATACTACCAGAACCAAGGGGAGGTGAAGTTACTCAGTGTGGAGCAGGAAGGTAACAAATTCCTGCCTCTTTCTACACTTCAGGGATCTGTACAGAATCACAGAATAGATTAATGGAATCATAAAGGTCAGAAAAGACTTCTAAGATCATCCAGTCCTACCATCAGCCCATCTCCACTATGCCCACTGACCATGTCCCTCTGTGCCATGTCTACTCATTTCTTGAATACCTCCAGGGATCGTGACTCCATCACCTCCCTAAACAGACTGTTCCAGTGCCTCGCCACCCTTTCTAATAATTTATTTTCTAATATTTAACCCGCATAGAATCATAGACTCATTAAAAGTTGGAAAAGACCTCTAAGACCACTAGGATTATTAAGCCCACTAAGTAGCCATGTTCAGCAATAGTGGAGCATATCTACAGCAGGTTTGCATTCTCACACCAAGGGCATCTTTATGGGGATAGCTGCTAAAATCTCTGGAGCAGAGATGCTGAATTCCCTTGTTAAATGTAGTAACCCAATTCGGTTATCATGTTAAAGGAGGGAGGGAAAGAGCTTATTTGGGATCTCACGTGTCACTGTTAGGGTTAAAATGTTTCATGCTAAATTCAGCACTATCAGCCTTGTTTACCAGCTTATGCTGTCTGATAGTCTCCTGGGCTATTCTATGGGACTGGGAAACTTTAGTGTTGAGATGATTCATTTCTGATTTCCAAGTAGGAGCTGCTCTCTGGCTGCTCTGTCCTGCTCTGGTAGCTGCTGGTGTGGGAGTAGATTGCAAAACTGATCCCAAAGTGACTTTACTGTGAGAGGCTTTACAGTAAAAAATGCCTCATAGACATGGAGCATGTGCCCTGGGACTTCCTTTGATAAGTCTTTGACCGCTGATGAGATCAGCACATAGCAGAAAAGTTGTGGCAAGTCTCCACATACTTGCAGCCCCCTGAGATGTGCAGGAGAGTTAGGGATGCTGCATGCCAACCTGAGCTATGGGAGCACACACCCAACTCCTCTGCTTAGTTTTTGGCAAGAGTAAGTCTTGGGGAATTTCTGAGGAGCATTTCTGCTATGTGGAAAATGTAAGAGTTGCTTATTTCATGCGGCAGAATGGACTGTGAGGGGCTGATTTGTCAGAGAACACAAATCCCCCATCTGCTGTGTGCTACTTTGCTTTAGAGACCTGCTTCATCTGGGATGCTTCTTTGGGACAGGTTGCTGGGGTTCGCTGTACCCTCCTCACAAATGGGAGGGACGTCAGGCTGACTTCACATTTTTATAAATAGCCACTGCCAGTTTGATAAGCGTGCCAGCATAGACGTGGAGTTAAAACTGAAGGGGACTGATCATTATTTCTTCCTTGTAAGGCTTGCATAATTTCCCCTGTAGATGGAAAAAGCCTTGCACTTATGTTTTTCACTACTATCTACCACTGCGAGCCTTAGATTTCATCTCTTTAAGCCTACATCCTGTGAAACGCTGTAATTGCATGCAGCTGTGTTTGCAAGGCATCCTCTGCAAATGCAACGTGTGCAAAGTGTGTGAAAAAGACCCAAGCTCAGGACCTCCAAAATATGCCATGAAAAACTGCTGGTTTGCCAAAAAATAAAAATAAAAAAAAATAAAAATCCCCTGCTTGGACTGCCCTCCCCTGCCGTCGCTACCTTGCAGTTTGTGACATCCAAATAGTGGGAGGTCTGACAAACCGAACGAGGCAGCGAGCAAGAAATTCCATTCCTGTCGAAATCTGTAATTCCTCCTTGCTGGCTGCTTTTCCTCGTGTGCGTGCTTTCTTCTGTGTCACTGTGTGCGAAGGGCTTTGCTATTATTATTATTTTAAATATAGCTTGCCCCGGGGCGGGGGAATCGCACAAGGAAAGAGCCGGCGAGCAGCCTATCTCTCAGAAGAAAAGAGAGAGCCTCGCAGCACAGGAGCTGGCTTCACTCGAGTGTGCAGTTTAGAAGTCAAAACAAAACAAAACAAAACAAGCAAACCAAAAGATTTTTTCCAAGTGCCACCGTTTTGGAGGAGGCTGAAGAAAAAGAACCCCAAACTGGCTAAATGCTGAAGGATGCAGGCAGACAGGGGCACAGAGCGAACCCAAACGCAGTTTGAGCGTGGGCTCTAAAGTGCAATGTAAGTCTCTCTTAAATTGTCTTGTTTTGTTTTGTTTTTAAATCATAGTATCTGTTTTTTTTTTTTCCATTTTGAAGCCAGGCTGGGCCAAAAGGTGCAGTTAGTGACAAAAATCAGCATGGAGCAGAACGTGTAATCACTGATCTGGGGCTGAAAATGATCCTGAAATGCAACAGAAGTCAGAAATGCAACAGAATATCAGGCGTATTATGGAAGATGCACTATAAATAAGAGCATATCTAATTATTTCAAGAGAAAGATGCCGGACAGAATCTTTAATCAACTTTCTTAACAGGGAAGCAAGAGCTCTGCTGCTTTGTATGGCAAGCTATTTTAATACTGCTGTGTTCAAAATTGTGTGATTACAGTTACCAATGGCAATAAGATGTAGCTCCAGAGGGGAGTCCTAGTGGCTGCAAAAGTTTTTTCTCTCTTATTTCTACAATATTTTTGCTCTCTCAAGCCTCAAGTCCACGGTCTCTATCATCTAGTTTGGCTTTGCTTTTTACCTGGGTTTTCAGTGCCAACTCTGGACTTCCTATGGAACAGAAAACAAAACATTTCGGCATTTGGAGTAATTCTGGTATGTTTTTCTACATCGTGCTAATGGTAAAAATGCAGTTGACAAAGGATTGGGCTCCACCAACTTCTGCCACAGACAGTTGAGGAATGCAAAGCCTGATGGTGACAAAGGGTGACCATTTCCTATTTTTCACTGTTTATCTCACCGATTTCAGACTTAGCAATGGATACCCTTTGTGATGAGGAAAGCTCTGTGAACCCAACTGCAAACTCCTTAATGCAAATAAATCATGAGAGGAGACTCTACAGAAACGTTTACGGACCAGGAGAGACTAATGTGTCACATTTCTGTAACTTGACTGCAGACTCCGAAAACCTGACCAATCTTTCATGTGAAAGTCCTCCGTGCTACTCTTCCCTCTTTCAGCTCTCAGAGAAAAACTGGCCAGCTCTGCTGACAGTGATAGTGATTGTTTTAACCATTGCTGGGAATATTCTTGTCATCATGGCTGTGTCACTGGAGAAAAAGCTGCAGAATGCCACTAACTATTTTCTCATGTCACTTGCAATAGCTGATATGCTGCTGGGTTTCCTTGTCATGCCCGTGTCAATGTTAACCATACTGTACGGTGAGTACGAGCTGTGGGATCTGATGCATGTTGAGGGAAGCTTTAAACATTGCATGCACGTGTTGGCATTGTTCTTATTTCATTCTTACTGTAATCACTCCATGCGGGAAGCATGTAAGTGGTTAATGGACGTAAGAACAGATTGATAGATACTTACTCATTTGCTGATGGAATTGTCTCAAAACGTGCATGAAGATGCTTTGTTCTCCTTATTCTTTCATTGTTTTCCCTGGCTTATAAATTTCAGTAATTCTGGTGGGAATATAGGGTCCTGCCAGTTACTCTGCTTTGCAAAAATGTGTGGAAGGACTAATGACTGCCTTTAGAGTAAAAGCTGGCAACCCCTTTAATTTTTTTAATGAAGTAATTCAAACTTTAAAATTCCCTTAACACCAACATCTTACTTAGACCTCCACTTACAGAGACAGGCTGCAATAAATACTGTGGGAGTTAAAAACTGGATGGGAATTAATTCTGCCTAATTTTTACTAACATTTACAGAAGCAAAGCTAAATATTAGCTTCAATTCCATAAGATATTTAAGAATTAAGTGGATTGTGACTCACAGTTCAGACCCTTGTAGGTGATTAATATAGCAGACCTTTCTTCTCATTTGTACCAAAATCATTTGCAGCACAGCTTGCGTAGGAAAAAGCAGCAGCCTGTGTGTTCAGTGTCAATATTGTCAGGCTATTATCATCCCTAAACTTTGAAAAATGAGTTTTCCAGTACCACAAGCAAGTGGCTATATTTGAAAGAGAAGCCAGACAATGCCAGGAGGAAAGCGAGGTTGTTTGCAAAGGTTTCTATAGCCGCATGGTTTCAGGAGTAGAACTCTCTGAGTGCGAGGCTGTAACTTACGAGAGGTTTCATCCAGCACGCTAGAAGTTTATTTCCCAGTACCACATTTCTGCATGGTGCTGACACTGCTGAGGGTATGAGGCTGTGATTCATTGCACTAATTGTGCAATCACTCTGGCAGTTGGAGAAGCAGCGTAAAGCTGCAGAAACCGTCCATTGCGTAAGGTGAACAAAAACCCTTCCTGACACTGCCTGCTTCCCTGAGACAAGCAACAGGGACTCCTGCTGGCCAGGCTCTGCTGCCGACGAAACCCCAAAGTGCCCCAAACCCTAACGGCTGGGAGATATCTGGCTGGGAGATGAGGACTGGGATTCCTACAGGCAGCCCTGCAAATCCACAGGCAGCAATCAGACAGGTGGTATCACGTGGTAATAAGATGCAAGAGGATGGCCTTAAGGCATGCCAGGGGGGTTAAAATGGATATTAGGAAGAATTTCTTCATGGAGTGTGTGGTTGAGCATTGGAATGGGTTGCTTGGGGAAGTGGTGCTGTCCCCATTCCTGGATGTATTTAAGAGATGTGTGGATGTGGCACTAAAGGATGTTTAGTGATGGAAGGAAGATGGTTGGACTGGATGACCACTTCAAGTCTAAATGATCCTATGATTCTATGCCAACCATCGTGGTAATCCCCAGTCAGAATTAGGGACCTTTGTAACAAGGGACTTGCAATGAGGTTGCTCCTCCACTCACTCTTTGCAGGGAAATTTTGACAATTTTACTCGAAACAGAGATGATTTCTTTCCCTACACCTTATCACTATTTTGTGCAATTCCCATTGGGATGCCTTGGCCAAATGTCCTGCACAACAGAAGCCAGGCAGGCTTTTCCGTTCACCCAGCAGCTCCAGCCTCCCATTGAAAAGACATTCTGCAACACTTTCACAGCATCCAGGAAAGGTGAATGTGCCCACAGATCAGAAAACACCCAGAGTTGAGCAGTACTTTTTCCCACGCAAACATGCACTTAGTTCTGAACATCTCTTGGAGATTTGCCCCATGGCAGCATGGAGATGTTGTTGAGTTTATTGGCAGATGCTTCTTCCCTGCTGCAGCAGAAGGATCAGGTGCTTCAAAGGGCTCCTGAGCAGCCCAGCACTAACTCTGAGGCCTCAGCTCAGGTGCTTCTGACAAGGTAGGACAGTACACAAGGCCTTCTCAGCAACCATGCCTGCCTACAGACTCTCCTCTTTCTTTAGCCCTTCATCACTCAGTTTTCCCATATCCCTTGTTACCAATCCTGGTCAGCTTCACTTCTCCACCTCCTCTCCTGAAAGGCCTTGGGAGAAAACACTTCTCTTCTTCATACTATCTAGGTACAACAGGAGAAAAATCTTGTCTCTGTGTTATCTGCTCTCCCTTTCAGCCTCACAACCTGACCATTCACAGATGTGCAAGCATTATGTGCCTCTTCTTCGGATGGGTCTCCCTCATGTGAGCTCCTAGACATCAGGAGCTCTCATGAGCCATGTTTTGTTTTACTTTGTTTTGTTTTGCTTTGTTTCCCCTGGATAAGCAGAAGGGTGAATTAGGCAATGGTGAGAAGACAGAACAAGACCAAGGTGCCCCATCTCACATGTCACTTAACATGTCGTAAGGTCAGCCTGGAGGAGGCTGCACCCTTCTTGACTTGCACTGCATCTGCAGTTGGCTCCTCTCATCTGTCTTCTATTTCATGGCCACGTAGTCTCCAAGGTGGTTTATCTGAAGAATGCTGCCTATCCCTGCCATATCCAGGTTTATAGCAAGGACAAGAAGTCTAGAAGGGTGTGACAAATCTGTTCTGAAAGAGAACAGGCGCATGGTGTTGAGCGCAAAAGTAGTTTCTGCCTTTTCCCTGTGCAAACTGTCCAGGGCTGACATAGAGGCTGCGAGGAAGACATGCTTCAGAAATTCAGCCCTCATTTAGAGCTCTCCAGAGACTGGTTTCCTCTTTGGAAGAGCAGGAAAAAGATAAAACTTATCCATAAATACCGTATGGCTTATTAGAGTCAGTCACATTACAGCCATCCAAGAGCACCAGGAAATAGGTCTCTGCAGTGCTTAGAGAGAGTAAATGTAATTAGGCACAGACCTAATTCCTCTGCCTCTAATCCTTCTGTTGCAAACTTGGTTGCACTGTATTTCCAAAAGAGCCAGGCACACCCTGAAAAACTAATATCTTCTTACAACATCAGCTTTACCATTGTCCTATGCAACACATTCTTGGGCAGCTTCGGTAATTAACGTGGTAAATTAAATCACCAAAAGACAAGGGAAGGTTAACTGCAAAACTTGCCCCAAGAAGACTTACTGGTGGTTTCCTGCAGGACGAGAAGGACCTTGGTATGACGGTTTTGCAGGGCTCTGCTTAGCCTACGCCTGCTTAACAACTTGGATAGACTATGAGCTTGCACGATTTTCCAAAAGCCCAAAGTGGGAGAGGCTACAAGCACTCAGATGCCCAGAATCAGAATCATCAACCCCAAAAGAGAAAGTCTAAAATGAACAAATGAAATTTAGTGAGGATAAAAGCAAAGTTATCCACTTAGGAAGAGATATCAAACCAACACCTGCTGGGGAAATTAGTCCAGGCTTCAGAATCTTGAAACAGATCTGACTGTCAAAATGAATCATAAGCTAAGTATGCAGCATAAGTATGATGCTTTTATACAAAAGGCCCTCTTCATTCCAGGTTAGATAAGTAAGAGCATTCCTGCAAGACCCACGAAGCAGGCTCGTATTTCACTTAGCAGTCAGGAGGCCTTTTCAGCAGCATCAAGAACAGGATCCAGCATTGGTCACTGCAGCAAGATAAATTAAATAGATTCTGGGGCAGAGAAACAAGAGGCATAAAAGTTCTGTAAACATCATCTGCAAGCAAAAGATAAAGGAACTGGCTTTGCTTAGTCTGGAAGAGAAAAAGATAGACAAGACATGATAGCCATCTTCCAATAGCTTTCAGAAAGGACAGTAATCAATTATTCTTCATTACCAGTGGAAAAAACAAGGAAAAAGAAAGGCTTAGTTTGCAGCAAAGAACATGTAGAATTGATACTGATAAACTCTAATGTATTATCTTCGGATTGCTTTCTCTGTAGTAGCCTGACAATATACACTGATGATATTAGAATATTGTCCCTATCTAAATATGTGGAAATAAGTTATCTAAAGATAGGTGTCATAAACATCACTGATATGCAACTAAATATATTTCTTTCTCCAGCTGCCACCAAATCTGAAGTTTCAGTTTCAGAATTTAGAAGGCTTTGTAGATCAGCAGGTGTTAATAATACAGTAATCACACTAATGATAATTTCTAATGGAAAACTGAGAAATTCCACACGTGCAGTAACAATTTTTTTTCTCCTTCCATAGATGTTGATTACAACATCAAGCATTATTCACATAGAAAAGAAAAACACATACCCACACTGCAGCCTGGGAAAAATAAATAAATAAATAAATAAATAAATAAGCAAACAAATAAATAAATAAATAACCCCAAAAAAACAAACAGAGCCTTTGCAAGCAAATGAAAGGAAAAAAAAAAAAAAAAAAAAGATGTCCTAAAAGAGAAATAGAGAAGCTATCAGACAGCTTCCTTACTACCAGCATTTCCTAGGAATACATGCGCAGTGAGAAAAATGCTTCGCAACAGAAGATGTGACTACGTCACATTATAGCTGATGTCAACTTTCTCTTGCTCAGAATACACGTGGCCTCTGCCTAAGGAGCTGTGTGCCATTTGGATCTACTTGGACGTGCTTTTCTCCACTGCCTCCATCATGCACCTCTGTGCCATCTCATTGGATCGTTACATTGCCATTCGAAATCCCATCTACCACAGCAGGTTTAACTCAAGAACAAAGGCTTTTGCAAAAATAATCGCTGTTTGGACCATATCAGTTGGTAAGTGAGCAATATTTCAGCATGTAATTGCAGATTTCTAGCTTTTGAGATGATGGGACACATACACATATCAGTCTAAAACTGTGTTCTCTGACTGCAATACTTTCCTTGCCACAGTCTAAGAAGTGCTGTAATGTAGTAATTAAGCAATACACAATCAACAATAACAACACGAAATGGAGGTGAAGCTGAGCAGCACAGTTATAGAAGGAATGCACATTAGCACTAAGACTGTTAGGTTCAGTTTTGTCTTGAAAATGTGTTTATTTCCCATATTGATTATCCACCATTACCATAACATCTGAAAACAAAAAAATAAAGATATTGACAAAGATATTGACTGAAAAGATTTTCCTGTAAGTCAATTGTTCCAGCTTCTCATTAGGGTAGTTTACTTAGAGATGTTCCACATGGCCAGATATTTCCTGTTTTTTCCTGATAGACAGGGTGAGGTTTGTACAATATCCCATTTAGGAGGCATTAGATGCTCTGCCTTTACCATAGACGAGAAGTGTTTCCCAATGGAGAGCCCAGAGCTGCAGCCTTAAGGAGGTGCCCCGAATGATTCACCTGAAGAATCTCTCTTTGCATTGGTGTAACCCAGAGACTTGCAACCACATAGCAGTGTCATGTGTTACTGTACATGGTAACAGCACCTTTGGTCCAGAGCTGTTTCATGATGTGGGAGATGGAAAGTGTTTGGTATCTGATGCTATCAGGGTTTTCTTCACAAACTTTAAGCGTTGGTTCCAAGCATACTGAAAGCACCACTCCCTTTGGCTCATCCGTTTTTTCAGAGCACCCGTGCATTGGCAGCTCACTTATTCATTCACTGACCTCATTGCAGCCTACCAAAGGGTAGATAATAGCAGGACAAGGAGAAATGGTTCTAAGTTGAAGGAGGGAAGATTTAGGCTGGATATCAGGGGAAAGTTCTTTTTTTATGAGTAATGAAGTGCTGGAAGAGGCTGCCAGAGAGGTTGAGATGCCCTGTCCCTGGAGGTGTTCAAGACCAGGTTGGATGGGGCCCTGAGCAATCTAATCTAGTATTAGATATGGAAGTTGGTGGCCCTGCCTGCAGTAGGGGGGTTGGAGCTTGATAGTCCTTGAGATTCCTGGCATCCCTCTTTCAGCCCAGTCTGCACTGCAGCATATTTGTGGCTTAGAATAGCTGAATCTTCTGCAAAACATCAAGTGACAGTGGTAGCTCTCTCTCTCATCAGAGGGGCAGCTATGCATTCTCCAAAGTACCCCAGACCTAGCAAGGTGCAACAGCATCACTTACATGGGGCTCATAGTGTGTCCAGCTGACCAGATGTAGATGTCTAGCACAGGGCATGTGAACTCCACCCTAAAAACACCTAGCTCTCTATAAACTATTCAAAAGGCCTAGGCCAACTCATTTTGGTGCAGATGTTCCCCTTTAGATGACATGAATCATACCTTATACCTCTATAGCTATAGAATCATAGAATCACAGAACTGCGTACACCACAGTCCCTTTGCTTATTAATCCAGTACAAAACACATTATTTTGTCTTTTCATTTTTTTTCCCCAGTCTCAGGCACTGCTAAGTGTAAGCATTTTCTCTGCATGACATAAAAAAGTGAAGTATTCATTAAATTTGTCTGTACTGCATTTGTTGGTATTAGTGCGTGGTGCCTGCTCTAACAAACTCATAGAAAGATCAGAATGAGCAAAGCAAGGGTCTGTGCACCTCAGCAGCTTTCTGTAGACAGTGACTTGCTAGCAGAGCTTCCAAATAAGATCACTATTCAAATGAATTTAGAAAAAGAATCCTATTATTTAAGCTCTTCTGGTTAGAATATGGTTAATGTCCTACAGAAGGAGGAGTTTGCTCTTTGATATCTTGAGCCACAGATTTTGTTATCACTGTGGCAAGTGATAGAAGACAGACCTATTTAAATCTGAAAAACATAACTCCTTGCTTTACTGGAAGGCACACAAGTGTGGCATGAGTGAAGATGGCATCCACTTTTCTGCAGATGAATAAGGACATATGTAAGGCAGTGGTGGATGTTTGAAAGATAGTTGGGCTGATAGGATAAAGCTCCATTTCGTTCACAAATAGCACATCATCAATAGAACATGTAGGTTAAGTAGATACAAATGAAATCAAAAAAGGACCCTGAGGTATGCATGAATAAAGCACTGCTCAGCTGCTGTTAGTGCCATGGAAGGGCATGAGAAGACGAGCTGAAGGAAGACAGTGTCAGTTCCCTGCCTGGGAACCGGGTCAGGAATGATCTGTGGAGAATATGATGTGCTATAAAACAAGCTATAAAGGAGTTTCTGAGCTGCCCATTGCCAGTCTGGACTGAGATTGCAGCATGGCATGTTGCTATATTGAGTAAAAAACAATAAACTATGAGGAAACTTGCTAGATCCCGGATCTTCCGTGCAACTTACTGGCAGTTGGTCACTGATCCTGATCCTGTCTTTAGTCATCACAACATGACTCAGAATAGATTGGAAATGATTTCTGAAGAGTGAGGTCATTTATAGATCATTTACTAATAGAAAAGGGTTTCTGAACAGAGGTCTCTATGTATCATTTACCAATCTTCAGGCTCTCAGTGCTACTTAAGAGTGGCAATGCTATAAATTATTTAACATCTTGCATGTTCACATAGGAACAGCTAACACAGGCAAAAACAGTGCCAGGCACAGTTTCCCCAGCTCACAGTGTGGCTGAAATTTCAGTGACAAATTCAGAGGGACGGGAGTTTCTCAAGGTTTTGCCCTCCAGCCTCAGTTCAGATAACCTTTGGCTCCCCTTGCCTCTACAGTTTGCAGGTCAGCTGGTGTCCTGTGAACTAGCGTATGCATGAAATTGAGAGTAAGAAGGCAAAGAAAGAAAGAAATGAAATGCCCCATGTTCCCCTGCACAGAAGCTCATTTTGCCTGGAGTAAGCGGGGGAACCTTTCAATCAAAGAGCTTAAATAGCTTCCTCACTGTCAACATTCTTAGTTAACCCTCTTGCATAGACCTCTCTAATAATTTATTTACCAGGATCCATTTTGGATCTTTTTGCATGGAAGCATCCCATGTCCAGGTCATCTTTATATCCCTCTCTGAATCTCTTCTAGCACTTCTAACATTTTCTTTGAGACAGGTGGCCAGACTGTAATATTCAAACCATGAACACATCACAAGTTCATCCAATATTACGTTTTCTGTCTTGTTCTCACTTCCCACCTTAATAAGTACTACCATTCTGCTATCCTTTAGGACACACTAAGCTGAATGATTCCAAAGTCTCTTTCCTGAATAATGCACATATGGGAAGTATTCCCCTCCAACTAACGTACAACACTTTTCTTCCTGATGTTGCCTTGCTGCCTGTTGGATGAGACTTATGAGGATCCTCTACCAGTTCTATCCAGCCAACAGCTGCCAGTGTGTTTACTCTGTTCCAGTGTCCACACAAACAGGTCACAGATGAGCTGACTGGCACTGGGCAACACAGAGGGCTGCTGCATGCTAATTTCCACTGCCATCATGGTGGGAATCATTCACCAAATCCTACCGCTTGTTTTCTGTGGTTCAACTCATCCTTTACCTGTGGGAAGATCCTTTTTCCTCTGCAGTCATAGCTTAATTTCCTAAGCAGTTTTGGATCAAGCAGTGTTGTCAGAGCTTTCTGGAAATTCAGAAATGTTGTACCAGCTGGGTCACTGTCATACACCTACTTGCTCCTACTTGCTAACTCCCGTGAATGATTCTGTCTGATCTGTGGGTCATGGCATTCTCTCTCTGCAGAAGTTCTCCTCATATTTCCCAACCTACCCATATCTCTTTCATTATGACTTCTAAGTTATGTAAGTAATGAATTTTCCGTTCACTAAATTTTTAATTTTCTCTTTATTTTCTAAAAGTACAAATTTGTCCAGTGAATCTCATCCAAAGCCCAGTTGATCTGTGGTCATCCTTCTGTTAGCTGTTAGCTTCAATGATGTGTGACATATTTAAAGAGCAAATTGCACAAAAAGGGACAGGCAATTTGATTGACTTGACTTCTGAAATCTCAATTTTCTTAGTAAAAAAAAATACTGTGCTAACATTTATTTTTTGCATTAGTAGAAGAAGAGCATTTAGCCAGCAGCCTTTCTTTCACTAGACCATGTAATGCCACAGGCAATTGGTTTAAAATGGATTCTAATTACTGTAACAGATTCTAATCGTGTCTTTAATTCTTAAATCATCCAGTACCCAGGGTGGCTAGATAATTAGATTATTTGTAGCTGTTGAAGGCAAAAGCCCATTAAACCCTGAAAATTATTCCATTTGTTTTAAAGCACAGAGGTCATTAGTGAGAACAGGTGTAAAATGCCCAAGTGTTTTCTCTTCCTTGAAAAAAAATATATATATATAGTGAAATGTATTCAAATCTATAGAACTGCAAATAGAGCCTACACTGAAAAAGACAGGTAAAGGACCTTCTAGTCCTAGGTGAGCCTAGGAAATGTGCTATGCAAGAAGCCAAAGTCAGCATCCTCTCCTTTGAAAATTCTTGACAGGGCCACAGGAAAGAAATCATGACTGTTAAGCCCTTATAGATCTCATTCCTCTGTCCTTATTTCTCTCTATCCTTCTGTTAATGATGAAGTTTGATGAAGCTCAAATCCTCTTAGTCTGAGTTTTCTCTTTGCTTATAATTTCTCACTCAGCCTACACATCTGCTCACTGCCTTCAGGCAGTCTCTGCTCTCCCCAGTCATCACAGCTTGGATTTATTCTGTGCTTCTCAGGCAGAAAAAAAAAGCATAAAGTTGAGTTGGACAAAGTTGGAGAAATAACCCTCATATATCTCTCTCTTAAAGTTTTCTGCTTTGTTCAAGTCTAGTTTGGGGATGGCTTGATATAGGAAAAGACCGCTTGTTATTACATGGAACATATTCATCCCCTCATATGGATTTTCTTTGTTATATTTTATAGACACACCATGAAGCTTAGTAGTCAGCAACAGTTATGCCAG